TTACTCATGCATAACCTCCCTCTTAGACTTTAAGGAAATCAGTTTTCAGTCTAATTTTGCCTTGATTAGCAAGCAAGCCCCTAAATGGTTCTCACAATTTGTTCTCTAAGCCCAAGGCAATCCTTTTTCTTGTAGGCGAATGAGAAATTTACTTGAGGCAGACAATTCAGGATTCCAGATGCAGTTTTCCTTTGCCCTTATCTTTGGCATCAGGAATCCAAATAGAACATAGAACTGGTTAGGGGTTTAGTTTATACATGGGCCTGACTAGATCCTTTTATTCTATACATGCAGGGGTGGGGAGAATGTCTAAAAATTTTTCAGCTGCTCTCAGTGTGTGGAAAACTTAGTTTTTGCTAATGGAAAGCCCACTTGTGACCTGCATCATGGTGGTGTTCTCCTTAGTAACAATCCCTTTTTGACATTTCACCTGGACCATACTTGTCTGTATTCAGATATGGATAATAGAAATATTTCTAGCAGCTGTCCTGAATCAAGTGCTGCCAGAACCCCTCAGTGCTGGGCATTCTTGGTTAGAAGGCCAGCTGACCACTTGGGTTGTAGGGTTGCCAGCATAATGTCACTCAGTATATGTTGAAGTATTTTTAGGTAAATTTTAGACATCAGAACAACACAGCTGGCTAGTTTTGCAGACTAAATTAGGCTGGAGGAATTGCTTTCCCAGTTGTTTCTTCTTCATAAGTTTTAATGGATTTGTTGCCAACAACAACAAAAACGGGTGCTTTTACATAAAGATTGCTATGTCCGGCTTCTCTGGGAAAACTGGGAGATCTGGGGACATCAGGTCCCCATTTCCCTGATGCTGACTTTCTTCTTCAGCTTCATGGCAGAAGCCTGCCTTTGGCCTGAGTGGGGGAGGGGAGTACTGAGAATGGGCTCCAGGGTCCCCAGGGGGCCCAGCACTCAGCTGCACTGATACTGTGTGTCAAGTGCCCTGATCACTGGGCTCCTGCTGCTGGTTTCAGGACCCTCCTCCCTCCTTTATTTTCCTGCCTGGCCCCTGTAGGTATTTGAGTTCTTGACCCTGGCAGCTGTCAGACAGTTTTTCTTCTTGGCTCCACACTTGTGCTTTGCTCATGCTGTGTCTTTGTCTGGAACTCATTTCCTGTTAGGCTTGACTATCAGATCTTCACCTCATTTGCAGGGTTGGGTCCAAGGCCCACTTCAGTTACAGTCTTCCATGACCATTATAGTCGTAGCCCCTGCACCTCTACACAGACAACGTAGTGTTAGATTTTATATTTTCTGTTGTTGATTATTTCATGTCTTATCCTACTGAGATGGTGACGTTCTTTTTTTTTTTTTTTAAGAGAGAGAGAAAGAGAATTTTTTTTAATATTTATTTTTTAGTTTTTGGTGGACACAACATCTTTATTTTATTTTTATGTGGTGCTGAGGATTGAACCCAGTGCCCCACGCATGCCAGGCGAGCGCGCTAACACTTGAGACACATCCCCAGCCCAAGATGGTGACATTCTTATAGTTGAGAAACACATCTTTATCTTTCTTTCTCTCTCTCTTTTTTATCTACCTCAGAAAATTGCTAATGCTGACCCCTCAGCCCACATACATGGTTGATTAGAAGGCAGAGAACAGTAGCTTATTGACCGACGTAACAGTTATTGTAAAGAATATTCATGCATGGTAAAAATTAGCAAGAGAATCTTCCAAATATGAAAGGAAAATAAAAATAGGTGCAAGGTAAGAAGCCTGATGAGGAAACAGAAGCCCATTCAGATATGGACAAGGTTAAGTCCCTTGTTCAGTCTTAAGCATTGTGACTCTCCACCCTCACTTATCACTGCATGCTGTTTCCTGGTAGATCTAACACTCTTAAAATCTGATAACTGTACCTCAAAATCCTGTAGATCCTCCTCAAGGCTTAGCATTGAAACATCAAAAATAAAACAATGAACAGTGTTGCTTAAATGATTCTTGACAAATTAAATAAAGGTGATGGATGTACATTGACGGAATTGCAAGGTCAGGATGCCCAAACTGCTTCTGTCACTCAGGACATGCAGAATGCCCTCTGCTGGTGTCCTCTCCATAATGGACAAGATGATGTGCATGGATGATGAGCACCATGTGCAGTGGCATCACTGGTGAGGCTAAGTAGGCACTGGGGTCAGAAGTGAAAAGTAAGCAGCTGAGTGGGGCTATGTATGGGCCACTGGCTGGAGCTGGGAGCAGTGACAGGTGAGGTGGGAGATGACAGGGGGTCAGGTTTATGTGTTAGGCTAACACATTTCGACTTCACCCTGGGGGTTGTTGGACATTTTAAAGACTTTTATGGAGGACTCAGGTCTGGGCCAGAAAAGCCTGGTTGCTAGAGCCTAGATCCGGGGAGATCAGGCAGTGGGAACTTAGGAGGCTGCCATAGGCATCTTGGCAAGGAGTGCTGACTGACACTGAGGCGGTGGCTGGAGGGAAGGGAAGAAGTGGATGGGCTCAAAAGATGTTGGAACCCTTTACTTACTCGGATGACAGCTTCTTTAAAGTCCCTTTTATTATCCATATTCTCCAGTTGTTCTGCAGGTTGGAAGATGGGCTGGCTCACTCTACTTGGAGCTTTGATTTCATGTTGCTAGAGAAGTGCTTATGGTCTCTGACCCAATATTTCCTTTGGCCACATAGATATGCCCCTTAGGAAGCAAGGGTGGCTTTCACTCTGCTGTTCTGCCACCCTGTTCTCACTGTCATACGTAAGCTAACTCAACAGAATATACCAATTTTCCTGTTTGTACAAGCACACTATGTACTTTGGTTAACATGTTCCATGTCTCTGTACATATAAATCTTTCCCTATACACATTAGCCATACACAGGAGCAAATTGTGTATTTATTCTGCTCCCAAGAGCTAGTGGATGTTAGGATTGGTGTTTTCTGCTTCTGGAATTTTTGTTCTAAGCTTTAAGACATTTAACCATCTGTTTATAACTTTAAAGTGAATGTTCTAAGTGGAGGCTATGAATAAATATGTGAATCACGAAGGATATATTGAAGGGATATTGTCAAAAATGAAATGCTACTATATATCTTGCTCAGCTGTTTTGCCAGCCTTTAAAATATCTAATGTAAGCACATAGTATTTTTAAGGAATTGAAAAGATATATAATGTTAATTTTGGATTTTTATCTGGATTATATTTTCAGGAAGAGACTTTAGGGTCCAAGATTGCTTTAGCTACATTAAGATGAATATATTTTTCACTTAAAGCAGCCTTTACTCATATCCTTAATTATTTACAGATTATATATATAATTTATTTGTGCTATCATGTTATAAGATAATTTCAATAAAAAATCGAATGTTGAATTCACTGAACTTAATATTTTTGAAAGCATTTTTGTATTCTTTTTCTGTAACCAAAAATAGTAGATGCCTACAAATGGTTCAGTTCACCTAATTCTCTGTAAGAGGATGGATTATATATTCTCCTGCCCACAAGAGACTTGATTGACTAGTTCTACAGATTTCTTTTCATAAGACTTCAGTTTTCTGATAAAATTTCTTTAAATTTTCTGATAAAAATTTAAAGAGTTTTAGAGTTGGACTTATATATGCAAGTTAAATTATATGGCAATTATTTTTTCCAAAATGTAATTTTGCTTAATGTTTAATATTAACATCAGAGTAGTAGTTGGAACAAAAATTCCATTTGTCAATTTTCATTTCTTTTACTTGTAATTGAAATCCTTTGGGGAGTAGAGTATATTTAAATGTAAATAAAATGAAACTGTCAACATGTTTCTATTTAGGGAACTGGTTATCATGTATTAAATCACCCAGTTGCATAACTTAATATTATAGGCCTAAAGCAAATGTTAATACATTTTGACCTTGGTTTGTACTTAGGTTGTTTAGTAATTGCTGTCATTCTGACAGTCAGCAAAGGGAACTGGCAAAGGAGAATTACATTAAAGCTGTTTGCAGGAGCCATATTCCACAGTATTCTATGTGTTTGGTGTTGAGGTGTTAACTACCCTTTCTTATTACTATTTACCAGTTCACTATCCAGGGGTCTTTGACTTGGCTATTACTAAGTATACTAGTCTTTAACCAATTAATTACTTTTGACCTTTATATAAACATGTATTTATGATTTCATGCATTAATAAACACCAAGTGTTCCCCTCTCTCTTGTTATAGAGATAATTCTTACATATATGCTTGTCTGCATCTACAGTGTGCTTAATTAATCTCATACAATGAACTTTATAATGGGTGTTAATAAGTGTTATTTTGATTCTACAAACCATTCCATCTCTACTTAGGAAGATCATTCGGAAAGCAAACATGAGAAAAAAAATAGTCTTTTCTTACTGAGTTTTTCATTTGTGTTGATTGCTGCATGTGGACAAACCTAAGCTTGTTGGCTTTGTATTTGAGGGTTTGTGCATTTGCCGTTACAGTTTTGCTAAGATGTTGATGAACACTGTCAAGGCGAGGATATTGGAATGGGAAAGATGGATATTATTCCTCTTTTATTTAAAAAAAATCTCTCTATACATTGAGAACTTTGAATTAAAGCAGCTAGAAGACCATAATAAAAAACACAAAAAGGAACCATACCACATACCTTAGCACACTTTCTCCAGTGATATTCTTAAAAATGATTTTCTAAAATTAATCTTGTCTAAAGATAAAACAACTTTATATTCAGTGTTTTGGAAATGTTTACATTTTCATTTGTGTTGTAATTCTTTATGATACATTGTGACTTTTGATAACATTTCAGAAGAAAACATAATTTGTTATGCTGAGCTCTGGTGCCAGGGAACTTGCTGACCCATTAGGGTGTGCAGGATGGCAGATGGTAGGACCACCCCCTTGTATGACTGAGAGATCTCCAGGAACATGTTTGCAATGATTCCTTGCCACTGTAATGCTCACCAGAAGAGTTATGTTGAAAGAATCAGAATTTATAATCAATAATGTCTTACCCAAAATAATGTTGATTTTTTTTTCCTTTCAGATTTTGGGGTAAGTGCATTCTTAGCAACAGGGGGTGATGTTACAAGGAATAAAGTAAGAAAAACATTTGTTGGCACCCCATGTTGGATGGCACCTGAAGTCATGGAACAGGTAAAAAAAAAATAGAGGTTATCTTGGTTGATACAGTGCAGTTAGTAATATCATTAACACACTAGCATTTCACTCACATCAGTCATTTTAGTAGAATGCATCATGTATCGTAGATTCAATTTCTAACTGCTAGACCTTAGCAAACTGATGTGGAAGTTCTGCATAAACAACTCTGGATTTCAGACAAAAATATGGAATTTGTGATGTGTAACATGCCTGCTCCATCATTATTGTTTTTTGTTTTCTGTCTTTTTTCTTTTAGGTGAGAGGCTATGACTTCAAGGCTGACATGTGGAGTTTTGGAATAACGGCCATTGAATTAGCAACAGGAGCAGCGCCTTATCACAAATACCCTCCCATGAAAGTAATTACTATTGGAAATAATATGTTGGATTTGAAATGTGATTGAATGGCATCTATTCTCTAATGCTCTTGAACGAATTTATTTTTCTCTCAGACTTTAGGAGAATGAATGGGAGGGGTACAGTCAAGTTGAATGTTGTTTGATTTTCTCATTGGACAGAGTGGACAAAAGTAGTACAATTCCCAGCTTTGAAATTTGATTTGCATTGCTAGCACAGACTTGAGGAAAGAATCTGATCAGATTGGTTCATAGAGGTCTATAGCTATGACAAATGCTGGTCATTAATCTTTTGAGTGCAGCATAATCCCAGGTCCTCAAAGAAAGTCTAAGAGTAGATTATGGTGATGTCATCTTTGCAGATGGATTTCCCAGATTTTAAGATCTTTTTTTTTTTTTTTTTTTTTCACGATCTACACCATTGTCACCCCTGCCTTTATAATGTAACATTGGTGGCTCCTTTAATGTAAGCGAATCACAATGCTTTCACAAAGCAACATGTACTTTGGATGCTATTTTCAGGATTTTGTCGTTCTTTTATCAGACCATAGTCATTATTTTTCTTAGTTCTTAGTTGGTAGCATAAGGGTTAATTTCCTCAACTGGGTTTAGTTTTGAGGCTGAAATAGTTTAATGGAAATTATGAAAGTATTTTAAAAGGAATATGGTCTGTGGATGTTTCATGTTTATTGGGAAAAAATTAGGAGAATTAAAAACATTAAAACCAAGGATAAACAAGTTAAATAGCTTTGCTGATTAAAAAGAAGTAGGGGTGGGGGTGTAGCTGAGTGACAGAGCATGTGCTTAGCAAGTGCAAGGCCCTGGAACTGAGCTACAGGACCCTTCTTCCCTCCAAAAAGTAATAATTTATTATTTTAGAAAATTTGGAAGTAGAAATAAGAACAAAGAAGAAAAATAACCATCCATAATCTCATAATCACAGAAAATCTATATTAAGGTTTTAGTGTAGTTACTTTCTTTGTTTTTTATTGTTTGGTGCAGAGGATTGAACCTATAGCTTTGTGAATGCTAAGCATATGCTCTCTACCACTGATATACGCTCCTACTCCTCCTATATATATTTCATTTTATATTTTTAACATAGTTAAGATTTTAGAGTGTGTGTATGTGTGTGTGTATGTGTGTGTGTGTGTGTGTATGTGTGTATGTGTGTCTGTCTGTCTGTCTGTCTCTCTGTCCACATCTGATTCTTAGCAGAACATTTAAAATCCAAGTATGAACAATAGAAGTGACCCTTTTGGAGATAAAGTACTGAAATTACTCTGAGGACTTTTTCTTTCACCTAGTTTTTCTTCTTATTTTCTTTTTTTCTCATTGCTTGGCACTTCCCATCTGAATCCAAAGGGCATTTGCCATCCCAGCCTGAAGCCCATTAGGACGATTCTTCAGAATCTGCAGTCCCCTCCATTCTGCTTTTGGCTATTATCCTCTACAAACAATAAACTGTCACTTTCATCCTTCATCTATTCACACATCTGAAAGTGTTTGAAAAGAGTCTTGACATGTATAGCATTTGCATAAATTAGGACTGATTTATGCATTAATGAGGTTTACTCATTTTGTAGGTCAGTAGTTTTTTACACATTCTACTTTTTAAAAGTAAATAATTTTAAAGTTAGTGCAAAAGAGTGGAATTTTTACCTTTGTGATTAGAAGTTGTATTTCATTTTGTTCTGTCCATCTCCCCCCCACCCCACGCCCCCAATGCAGCATGGCCTTTTGGACTTATTATAGTTTTTCATAACTCAGTTATATTCTGGCTATCTTTCAGTATCTTGTTTTCTCAATTTTGCCAAGCCTTTTTAGCAATTTCTCTCTCTCTCTCTCTCTCTCTCTCTCTCTCTCTCTCTCTCTCTCTCTCT